GTATGCGTGGTTCATTAATCTGGTGACTCTTCAATCGACTCAGAGGGCCTCACCTCACGTGGTTCATTGCTCTCTGGTTCTCCGGGGGAGCATCATCATGCATTGCTGGGTCTCTTTCTATTGCTCCTTTATCGCCATCTTGGAAGTGCAATGCCTCTTGTGTAATCCTTCCATCACCGCATCCTTGATTCAACCCGACTTGTTTTCAGATATCATAACCTCGCTCTCTCTCGCATTGCATTTGCGTTGCTGTGGCTAAGAGTTGTGTTGCGTTGCAGAGTAGCTAAGACTGATACAGCCATGCTCCACTCACTTTACATGCCTTTCTCCCGTGCACCCGTGGCATGGCATGGCATGGCATGGCATGGCAACATGCCAGTGTGCTGAATCGCATGCTGAGTGTGGAAGGGGATCTCTCATCGCTCACCTTTCTCACTGGCCTTAAAGCCATGCAGAGCTTGTAAGAGTGACGTGACAGCACAAGAACAATAAGGATTGTCCAAGAAGCTGCCACGTTTGTTTGTTTGTTTTGTTTGTTATTTATTTGTTTTTTATTTTTTTCTCTCTCTAGCAGTTTGTATGATTAAATGGTGGCAAGCAAGGAATGCACATTCCTGCAGTGTATAGAACTTTTTGCGTTCCTTTTTAAAAAGCTCATAACGTTGTTGCTGCAGTTTTGCTGCTCCAACAGACATAATGTAATTTACCACCTACTACCTATTTGCAGCACTATTGCAGCAAACTACTGGACCGGAGAACTGCCTGTGTTGCTCGGCTCCCTCACTTCCCTTACCTACTTGTGAGCTTTCTGTGCCACCTTTCCCTCCCTTAGTTTCACCGCTTGACTTTGTTGGCAGAAATTCCATTTGTGACATACGCTTGCCTGGAGTCCATAAGCTGTAGCACAGCCAATCAAGAGTGGCACTCGAGTGAGAGAAACTGAAGCATTGCGAAGAAGGCTCATTTGAGGATTTTATCAGGGCTGAATTGGATGAAGACTGGGTACTAGAAAGCTCCCCCCTGTGGAATTGAATTGAAAGTACAGATGAGCAAAGAAGTCGAGTTTCGAGCCTGCCTTTTCTGGGGAAAAAAACTTGACGAATATGAGTCGAGTAAAATTCGTGGAGTTCACAAATACTCGGCTTTTACCGCGTATGTTTTTTTACTCGACGAGTGAAAAATAACTTGTCGCGACATTTGAGGCCCCTCGAAAAACTTCTTTCTACAAAATTCGTGTACAAACTTCTTTCTACTTAGGCATGGATGCAGTAGGTGGCAGGCAAGACCAGCTGCCCTGCCGCTTCATACTGCATCAGTTTGGCGTTTCTGGTTGGTCAGCGGGTGGCTACCCAACTTGAACCGATTCATCAATTCGAAGGGTTACGTGCCGGTTCAATCCGAACCGGTACTGGTTCGGTTTGATAATGTCTGGCCAGTGTGACCCAGTTCGAGTCTCACCAGTTTTGGTTTCAGTTCTTGCTCATGTCTAGAGACGGTGCTGTGGTGGTTAGCTTGCTTGCTCGGCTGTTTCTATCCTTTGAGTTACTGGTTCAATGTGCTCTTGCATTGCATGTGCGCCCCATTCTTCACACCCTGTCAGGGACGTGTCCGGACTTGCAAGCGCGCAATTTCCCCGATGGGTCATGGACCTGACATCCCTGCGATACCTGTACGCCTCCTCTGCAGGCCCTGCTCACTTGCTCTTTCCTTCCGTTGCCATGCCTGGGCCAATATCGCGCCCGGTTACGCAAGCTCGTGAATGGACGAACCACCTATCTTGTCGTCTCACAAGCTTCCCCCTCCCCTCCTCGTCTCCTTTTTCCAGTGATGTGTCTCATGACAGCAACTATCGCACAGGAGTGGTGCCACAAGACCTCTACCGCCTCAGCCAACTGGAGTACTTGTGAGCAAGCGCGTCGGTTGTTCAATTTTGATGTGCACTTTCGATCGTAGCACAAGATGTAGGGGTCTTGCTGCAACTGCGTCTTCACTAAACTAGTATGTGAGATCTGCAGTCTACGAGACGAGATGACAAAGCTCCTGGTGCTGGAGAAGCAGGGTCAACCGTCCAATTCAGTGGTTTCAAATGTGTTGAGTTGACTTACAAGTTGTTTTTGCTGTTCTCTCACCCACCCATGGACAGTGATGCATCAGGCAATGGATTGGTTGGTTCGCTTCCAGAGTACTGGACCGCTTTGAACCACCTCACCTTCTTGTGAGACCACCTTTCACCCCTTGCATTGCCAAAGTTCAGTCTGTCTTTCTTATCCATCCCCTTCACTTGCCACCCTTTTTGCTGGTGGAGTTTTGGTGAGACCATCATATGCATACATGTTCAGTGCTGTTGTTGATGAATCTGCATGCAATACGCATTAATCTAGCGTGTTTTCGGTTCGGCTTTACCGAGCATCCGGTGTACTCGCATCACCCAAATCCCAAATCTTCGCAAAATGCAAATTTCGCACGGATCTTGCCGCGAAACTCCAGACCCTTGCGGCTGCTTGATCCCAGTTTTCTCACAGATCTTGGAGAGTTGAAGTGAAGGGGGTCAAAGAGGGGAGCACGGGAGGAGGAAAGGCTAGGGATAGGCCACTCCTCCCCGTAAAAGTTTTTGGAACTCAAATTCCCAGCCAATTCGCCGCCACTGACCACTCGTCATCGCACTGGATCTACAAGACCCAACCCCCCCATAGACTTTCAAAGATTACAACATTGAGCTCAGCTCAACCGTAGGAATATCGAGATCTCAACCTTCATCGCATACTTCCGTTCCTAGTGAAGAGCCAGCGAAGTACTTAGGTGCAATACCCGACCCGATTAGGCAAAAAATCCCTGATTCCGGGTCGGGTCAAAAGCGGGCCAAAACCCGACCCGGCCCGACCCGACCCGACCCAGTTGCAATTATCAAACCCGACCCGGCCGGGTATACCCGGTCCGACCCGACCGGGTCGGAGTTCTGAAAACCTCGACCCTACCCGACCGGGTCTCATGCGCATGCCTAGACTAGGGCGCGCCATGACTAATGTCAGAAACTGTCTTGTCATTACTCTCTAGAGTTGTCTAACAAGAGTTGTTTGTTACTCACTTTTGAAAACCAACGCATGTTAAACGGACCAACCCTAAGCGTCGGAATAGAAGGTGAGAATGCCCTAGGGCCTAATAGTAGACTAGCTGAGTGGAGAGCTTAAGAAAGAACTTGTGATTGGCTAAAGGGATGTGAGGAGAGACGGGACCTCTTTGTTTAGAAAACAAAGACATAGAACTTGGCTGCCCAAAGAAGTAGTGGCAGCCAAGCTGAAAATTGGATTACACCCCCACAATTATTGTCCAACATTTGCAACGAGTTAATGCAAAAGTTGTTGACTGTAAAAAAGAACTCGCGCGTCTTAAAAGAACTTGTTTAAGAAACGCTTTTTTTACAAGTTTTTTTCACTTGACGCGTTTTGCTCGACTCCACCCGACCGAGTTTCGATGGAAATAGCGCCTACAACAGTCGTCCTTACGAGCCCAAAACAACGAGTCGATACGCCCCAAAACTCGACTCGAATGCTCATGTGATATCGCATCCTATACCAGACTGGATCCTTCTTTATTATATTGGCTGCCCAATCAAGTGTATCTCTCAATTGTATCTCAAAAGCCCCGATGATCATAAAGCAAGAATGAACATTATGCTGGCGTATTTTCTCGCTCAGGTCTCAAGAGTCAATGACCTCTCCTGGTAGTGCCACTCTTTCCATTGTTGTGGGCATGTCATTTGTCAATCTTGAGGAATCTTAGAAGCGACCTTTTGCCATTCGCTGCTCCACAGGTCGTTTGACGATAACAAGATTGAGGGCTCCATTCCATCCACATTCTCTGCCCTCACCTCCTTGAGCACACTGTAAGCCGTGCCCTTTTCGTATTTGACGGCTGCTCCTTCCCTTTTAAGGCTCAAGGCCCAAATTGCAAAGTTGAGTAAGGTCGACCCAGGTGTTTTTCAGGTGGTGACGCAAGTTCTGTTTTTGACTTTCGAGTTTGGTTTCACACAACCCTCCTCGTCAGGATTACTAAGGTTGCTCCGCGCGCTCTGCAATTTGGGTCGCGAGCTTTAAGACGCCTCATAGTTCTGGAATTTCTCATGCTCCAGCCTTTATAACAAAACTACATCTCAAATCAGAAACCTTCGATTGAACATTATCCAAGCAAGCCTTCGGCTGTAATACATGACTGGAGCTAGGCTCTCAGTTTGTTTATGAAAGCATTGGCATGTGCACTGCACCATGTGATGTGATGTGATGTGATGTGATGTGATGTGATGTGATGTGATGTGACGTCACGTGATGTGATCTGATGAGATGTGGGGAAATGATGTGACGTGACGTGACGTGACGTGATATGATGTGATGTGATGGGTTGGGATGGGATGGGATGGGATGGGATGGGATGGGATGGGATGGGATGGGATGGGATGGGATGGGATGGGATGGGATGGGATGGGATGTGATGTGATGCGTGCAGGGCAAAGGAAACAATCATTAGGCTCACCTAGCCTAGCTGCCTGATCAATAGTATGTTGAGTCTGCTTGCACTTGCACCAATTGTATGTTCCTTTTGTTATCCGCCCGTAGGGAACTGCTGTTCTTGAGTGACTGCCTCAGTCCACTCAAGATGCAAGCTAACCCATGCCACATGTTCCTCCCTTTTTGGTGATGCAGAAATCTGCGTATGAACAGCATGGACGGCAGCATCCCACACGTCTTCACTACTGCTCTTAGCAACCTGTGCCTTGCTGTCCCTTACTCATCCGTACACTATACCTTGATTTCCATAGTTATGAGATTGGCCTTGCCATGCAATCCCAATGGATGCAACCTTCCAATGGACACAGGGCTCTACCGTTTCCTTGTATCTATCCTTTGTCAATTGCTCGGGCATACTTCTTTCCAGTCTAGGGTTGTTCACTTCCAATCAAGAAAGAATCGGTATGTGAACTGAACACACGCCTCATTGTCCCTGGGCCGTGTAGAGTTTCCATTCCAGGTTCCCAATTTTGGTTCTTGTATAGCCTGATATATGTATCCAAATCTGTCTTCTTGCAGGAACCTCGACAGTAATGACTTTTCTGGGCCTATTCCTCCCTTTCTCGGCTCCCTAACTGCCCTCTCAAACTTGTGAGAGTTTATTGTTTTTCTGCATCATAAGGAGGCATGGCCCCCTCTTCGTTTTGAGGTGCCTTACATGCAGAAAACTGGCAGCTTGTGCTAATGTTAGATGTGACCATGCCATATTATGACCCCCCCACTGCAAGGTCATTAGTAAATCTCTAGTCCGGCTACCTAAAAGTACATGTGCATCGTTACCTTGTGGTGTGTGGATGTGTTGACGCCGTAAGATAGATTATGCTCTGAGAAAAATCATGGGTGTTGCTAGAAAGGCCACGCCTTAGAAAAGCTGCCGCTCTTGGCAGAACTTGCCTTGCAATTCGACACTGTTGATTCGTCTTGAACTGCTGGCGATGCTGGTTTACTCTCCCTTTCTCATTATTGCACGAAGCAAGCAATTCTAATCGCACAAAGACAGCAGAGCTCTCATCTGTGTGTGCTGTACCGTACCTCTTGCACCTTGCTGCAGCAACTCATTAGCTCTCATCTCATATGTAGCCTTGTTATTGTGATGCTCATGCCTAACGAATGCATCGATTCAATCCAGTAAATTAATGGATCCATTCAGTTAAATGAAAGGAATGAAGAAATGCATACAAACGCATTTACCCTGTCCATGTGCCTCCTGCCAGGGTCCTGACTGCAAACAACTTCACAGGGCCTATTCCAGCGACCTTTACAGGCCTCACCAACATATTTGATCTGTATGAAATGACCACTCTACTACCATTTAGTATCATTCCATATGTCAACGCAATTTATATGTGATTGTCCATGTTAGAGGAAAGGGCTGTATTGTGCGGAGACCAGGTGTTAGCTGGTTAGCGAGGCGAAGTTTCTTATGAGACGGGATGCCATTGATTGGCATGAGAGCATAAACGGACGCGTTGATTAGCTGTGTAGAAGCAGGCCCTTTCCCTCCTCACACTCCTCAATACCATCTTTCAATGTTCCGTCTCTGCGGTTGTGCTTCCACGTTTACAGGTCCTTGCATGATAACCAACTGACGTCTGGGCTTGATGTGATTGAGCGCATGACTTGGCTTCAAACAGTGTAATTGCCTCATCTTCTGAAATTTGCCACCTGTGCTCCATTTAATAGTAGTATCCAATCCACTCTTTGGAGTGGAGTGATAACAATTTCAGGTTAATTTTGTTTAGCAAATCATCACCCTTTTCATGAATTTCTGTGTGTCTGCAACTTCAACACCTTTTTTTGCTCCGCATAACAAGGATCCACGCATGTAACTTCATCATATACCAATATACCGGTTGCTTCAGAATCCATATATTCGAGTCATTGCCAAGGTCCGAGGCTCAGTGTTTATGATCCCTGATTCCCTGATCAGCACACTCTTACACACACGCATGCTGCGCGTGCATGTTATGTCATGGCAATGGAGAGTTGAGATTTCGTTTCCTCCATACACCACAGGGACATTTCTTATAACAGTTTCTCGGGTAGCTTCCCCAGACTATCGGCATTGCCATTGCTCATGTCTTTGTGAGAGGTTCTTCAACGCCTTTCCCTGCTTCTGACTAGCACCATCGTGTTGTGCCTAATCTAATGAAGCACCCTATTAATTCCTTTTTTTCCCACACGGCTGACGGCTTTTCCAGTTTGCTGTTCTCTGGTTTGGTTTGCCAGCTTGTTTGACTTCCCAGTTCACACCAAATGTGGTTTGCCAATCGTTTGTTGAACCCATGGCTCGAGTCAGCCATGGGTTCTAGTGAATTCACGATCTCAGCCAGACTCGACTGTGCGTTTGAGTCACTAGCTTGAGTTGTTTGACTTGTGAGTCGTGACGGTTTTGCTTGTGAGTTACAGCTGAGTTGAGAACATCGCATTTCACTGCTCTGTGTGTGTGTGTGTGTGTGTGTGTGTGTGTGTGTGTGTGTGTGTGTGTGTGTGTGTGTGTGCTCGCGCGCGCGTGCGTGCGTCCCTGTGTGCATGCGTGCGTGCGTTCATGTTTGTGTGTGTGTTTAATTACATCCACTTTGTTCATTCCTTCCTTTCAGGAGCCTTCGAGGCAACCGGATTCAAGGGCTGTTTCCCACTGATCTGTTGAAGCTCACCGATCTTATGAATCTGTGTGTCTTCTTGATTGGCTACCGAGCCAAATGTCCTTGGCTCCACAAAACATGATGCGAGTGTAAAACAAAGAGTTTTTTGTGTCCATTCCATTTCTGCTGGCTGACCAAGTGCCATCAACCCACTGACCAATTGTGTGGGTGGGACCCCAACCACATATCAGCTCAAGTCCAGTTTTATAACCATACGCTCATCAACCTGTCCTTTCAGGATGAGATAGCCAACAGCTGCGCTGCATATTCTTTCCCTTCTTGCACAGAGATATTGGAGCGAGCAATTTCTACGGGCCCATTCCTGAAGGCATATCAAACTTACAGAGTCTGATGTTCCTGTATGTCTTTTCTGGATTCTAGTGCACTCTTTTGGACTCTGCTGCTCTTTGAATGAGTGATCTGCACGCCTTTTCTCATCCGATCTTCCCGCTGCTTATCGCTTTCTTGGCTTCCATGTGTTGAATTGAATGGCCATGGTCACAACGGTTCTGTGGAGGGTGCTGGTCTGCTTATGAATTGATGAAGCACACGAAGCCCATTACTGAGGCGTCTATTTTTTAGGCGCCTAAAAAATGGACTGCTTATGAATTGATGAAGCACACGAAGCCCGGTAAAGTGCTAGCAAGGGCATGAACGGTCATGGCCTTGTGTGAGTCGTCATGGGAGAGTTGGGGGACATGCATGCCAGGTCTTGAATAGCTTTGATGCCGCCCCTCCCCTTTCCCTGATGTGCTTGGCTGACACAATTGCATTTAAAGAAACTTCCTTCCACTTTTCCTGTTCAACAGAAATCTCGATGGGAACAATTTTCATGGGGAGATCCCTCTTGGCCTCTTTGCTCTCACAAGCATTGATCAGTTGTGAGTGGGGTGGGGAGACACATGCAACACATTTTGCTTGTTCAGTGAGTGCTGCTGATTCACTTTGTTCCTTGCTTCCTCCTTGCCTCCCTCTAACCTCCTGTTGGTTAGCATGCATCTTCAATCGGCCTCAGCTTAACGCCATGCATGCGTCTGCCGCCCTGTCTGATTCCTTCTATCACCATACCCCTCTAATGTTTTCCTCCATTTGTTCAAGGGGCATATGGTGTTTAACGCTACATCCCCTCATGCCACATGCCACATGCCACATGCCGCATACCACACATTCCACATGCTGAGGCACATTGAGTCAGATCAACGTGCCAAGCCAAGGTTTGTCAAGCAAGCAATCAGTGGCTCTCGGACTGAACCACATGTTTGTGTTGCAATATGCATGCAAGCACGGGCAAGTATGTGTTGCACTGCCCCCGTGCACACTGCTCGTCCGCTCTTTCCTTCACTGTCCTTCTCACTCTGTTGGTTTTTTTCCCACAACATTATCTCACCTTCCACCACTCTAACTCTCTTTCCCACGACTGTCTATCCCCATGGAACACCTTTCAGGAGTCTGAATAACAATCGCCTTAATGGGAGCCTGCCCAGCTCATTTAAATCAGAGTCCCTCAGCATATTGTACGTACCCATGGGTTGCTGTGCGATTAGTACCTGTCGAATGGCCTGGTGAAACACATGCTATGCCACTACCCAAATTGAGACTTCAGGACTTTCGGGTGGACGCAGCAGTGCCATGTCATTCCAAGCTTGTTTCCAATTAACGTGTTTGACGATTTGTGCTGATGACAGGAGGCTTGATGGGAACGGGTTGTCAGGCTCTCTTCCTGATTTCGCGCATTGGAACGCGTCTATTCTCGGATACTTGTAAGTCACGCACACAGGCAGCAGACAGACTGTTGCCATATGTTGTAAGGTGGAGAAAGGTGGAGCGCACTTGGATTGTTTTTCTATAGCCTGGCCTTGCTCTAATCTATGGCCTTAAGCCAGCTTCATTTCAGGTTCAGCTTAGGTTCATTTTCCTAGGTGGAACACAACCTATGTTCAGTCAAGGTCTTGGGATTGATACAAGTGACTGCTGTATCTGATCCTGTGTTGAGTTGAGTTCTAGTTGGCTTTGCGTCTACGTGTACGTGCGGTCAAAACAATTATTATTTTTACAACTGTTGGAGCCATTTATGGCTGCCCTGGAAAATGCGATTTTAGAGGACTAAATGGCCCCATGGGAAGCTTGTAACCGTTGTCCTTTGGTTCTTTTCTGCTAAGCATGTTAGCACTAATTCCATCACCTTACAGATTATCCCTGCATGCATACACCGCCACGTTACTGCCCCAGCAGTCTGATAGCTCCTTATTCGCATATCCTTTTTTTTTTTTGCCCAGCCCATGCAAGTCACATAGTTCACGAGTAAACAAAGGTAAAGGCCTACGCGTGAGTTTATGTCTACATGACAAAAAAACGTGTGAAGTGCCCAACTACGATTGAATCCTGTGGGATTCTGGTCGTTCGCTCTTCTCCCATCCCTCTCCAGGCATCTAGGGGGCAACAACTTCACAGGTTCCATACCGCAATCAGTCAGTATGCTGACTTCAGTGGATACCATGTGAGTGAGCCATCTTCCACCGTCTGTCCCTATCCTGCACACTGCCAATACCATCTCGATCATCTCTTGCTTGAGTTTCAAGTTCTAGTTCTGTGCAACACCAGACCTTGCCGCCACGATGCAGTAAAGTCCTGCCCTGTCCCTTGTGAATCTTGTCTTCTATGTGACCCTTCTTGTCTTGTGTGATACCTCTGCAGTTCCCTGGCCAACAACCAGCTATCAGGGACCTTGCCTACATCCCTTACAACCCTCACTAATCTCGCGGCCATGTAATCCACTTTGTTCTTTCATGCATACCGACGCAGACAAGCATATTCAACCATCAATCGTTGATCTGTAGTTCCTTGTCCCACATAGAATGTCCTTGTCCCAGTTGTCCTTTCTTGCTCATCATCTCATCTCAATCAGTTCTCGTGGTTCTTCATTGTCTTGTCCATGCTCAAACGGTTGTGTGTCATATCATAATATCATGTATATGTCACTCGTGCACCCCCACTAGTGACATGACAGATAATGTTCAAGGCACCTCAAGAGTTGTTTCCAAGCGTCAGTGGTCTTGTGCCACGTATCTATCACTCTACATCCCCATCAGAGACCTGGCAGGCAACAGCTTCTCAGGACCCTTACCCGCTGGCCTGGGGGCCCTCTCCAACCTTCGTACCCTGTAGCGAAACACATTCATGCATGCTCGCTTGCCTAACCATGGTCATGCCATGCCATGACATGTTTCATGATTTCATGTGCTTCATCTAGCCAGGTGGTTCAATTGAACCCGAACCGGCTCGGATCGAACCAGGTGAAGACTCAGCCACTTTGAAATTCAACCAACAAGGATGAACCGACCGCTACTGGTTTGACCCTAGCTGCTCACGCTTCAAGCTGAACTGGCTGAGCTGCTTGAAATATGTAATTAGAGATGAGCATTTGCCCCACTCGGGTCGGGCCGGCCCAACCCGACCCGTGGTTTAGCCCGGGTCAAGGCGGCAGTTTCATTTGCCTGCCCCGTGCGGGCCGACCCGACCCGACCCGGGCTAAAACACGCCTCGAGCATGGGACTCGGGCCGAGTGGGTCGGGTTTCAGGTCAGCTTTGACCCGACCCGAATTCGGGTCAGGACCAGGGAATTCGGGTCGGGCTCTTGACCCGACCCGATTCGACACTCTGGGGACGAAACCCTAGGTCAAAATGTTGTCGAGGGGTTTTTTATCTCCTCGACATCAGACCTACCCACGCTCTCAATCTTGCCTAACGGCAGCAATAGAAACTACTTAGTTACCACCCGTTCAAACCACATTGACTGTGCTGGATAAGAGTGCTTACAGCATATGTTATACACTATAACAAAAAAAACATTCACAAACACACCCCCCAAAAGTAGTAGGAATCGCCCTGCGGCTAAAGCAACGCAACTCGGAAGCGAGCAACTTGCGGAATGGTTAGAACAGTTGGGGCTGGAAGAAAAAAGCAAGGTTGAACGATCCAAGTCACCTGGCTGGCCTGCATTGGATCCTCAAACCTGTTCAACTGGATAGCCCTGCTCGGTATTAGTCTCATCATGCTTACCTTCAACTGTTGTTGTGCTCTCAAACTGAATCGAATGATACCTTCTCCACCATCTGTTGACTTTGCACGAGCTATCACCCCTTGATAGTCCGTGCCAGCACTTGGACACATGAATATTGACTCATGCCGCAACGCTGCTGCTTGAATGAAGGAGCGGAAGGGCAAATAAGATTGGAGAAAATAGGTCCATGTCAAGGAAAGTCAAATGCTAAAAGAAAGCTCTCATTCAACACATATGGATGGTGTACTAGCAGAGTCGAATTCGGTTTCGAAAATTTCTTCAATTGATTTTAATGAACTTGAATGCTGGCAGGTCTGTATCTGACAACCAGCTCACGGGGAGGCTCCCTCCTTCCATATGCAATCTCACCAAGCTAGAACAAATGTACCCCCTTCTTTACTGTGCAAATCCTTGCCACGCACAGTGTATAGACTAGCGACAACAACATTAAGCCTGTCAATGTTGTTCTCTTTAATGTTCCAGCACGGCCGTGGTTGTGTTGTTGAGATAAAGGCATCGGGACATGGTTCGCTGTGGTGTTGATATTGCTTGCGTTTTGGACTGTCCCTCCATATGTTTTGATGCTTGCAGCACCCCACTCAGTAAGCCCGGCGGTATGATTCTTTTTTCTTGCACGAGTTCCGTTTCAGGTCGATCCAGAACAACTACTTCTATGGGAACTTTCCGTCGTGCCTCTTTGAATACTGCTTGCACAAGATGTGAGAGATGTTGATTTAAAGTCTACCTTGGTCGAGGTGAGAAGGAGCACTGTTCTCCAGTGGTTGCAAAGTATTCAGACTGCACATGTGGAGCGGTTGCTTCAGGTGGAATGGTCAATGGACACGAGCAGAAGTGGGAACCCTTCTAACCAGTTTGGACTTACTTTGTCTAACCGAACCATACCAATCCTACCTAACCCGTTTATGTCTAGTGCAAAAGCAGGCACTCATTGTAATTCAAACCACCTGCAACGCTGCAAGAGCAGGCATTTGTTGTAATCCCCTCCATGTGCACGATCACGCAGTTTCTCTTTGCCGCCCCTCTTTGCACTTTCCACTTTTGCCACAACAGAGACATCAGCAACAACAGCTTCTATGGAGAGATAAACAGCAACTTCCGCAGCATGATTCCTGACAACGGCGCTCTGCTCAACATCGCAGGCAACTTCTTCTACGGCGACCCCATGCTCTACGCCGATGGCTGCCAGTTCTGCCCCTCCGGGAGCATTCAGCCCCTTGTCTTGACACCAAGAGACCTCGTCAACCCCTCTGGCGGCCGATGTGCACCCCAGGGGTTGGCAGGATTTGTTCAGACAACACGTGCAGGGGCCAACAAGCAGGGCGAGGCGAGCCTGAGGCGGAACTGTTTCACGCTGAGCAAGCAGATGGAGTGCACGGCGAACGAGACGCAGCGCAGCAGTGACGAGTGCCTGGCATTCTGCAGCATGTCGCGGGAGCTGGGGCCGTGCGACGGGCACGGAGCGTGTGTGCCGCCGCAGGCGGGGGCAGCAGAGGCGCGCTTCACGTGTGAGTGCGACGGCGGCTTCGTCCCCACCAACGGCACCCTCGCCTCCACCTGTGCCCGCCCTGCCCCGCCACCTGCTGCAGGTATGCTATGCTCCGCTGCTCCCACCGGGTATGCTCCATGATGGGTTTGAGAATGGGAGGTTTTTGCGTGCGTGGGTGCCGCTGTTGGCCAGGATCCGTCACTTGGAGAACTTACAACAAAACCAATTTTCAATCGATTGCGAATCATGTTTGGTAGGTTAGCGCGCACCCCATTCTTAAGTACCATATATACAACAACACGATCCATAAAGTGAGAACGGATTGCAGCATGACTAGAGTGGTGGAAGAAGTTCAAACATTACGACTTAGAATGGTCGTCGCAAGAAACAATTTTGAGTGCAAGAGTTTGAAAAGAGCTGGACAAGGATGGAATGAGACTATCGAGCAGTTAAGATGCATCCCACGGCATGAGTTCATCGTGGTGTCGTCTGGTAGAGATGCTATGATCTGTCATGGCCAGAGAATGGCAAGAAGATGCTTTGTTTTTCTCTTAGTAGGTTACCTATCTTTCATGTAGCTAATGGAGCTGCATCTATTGGGGGTATGTCTCGGTGGATGCATATCGCATGTCGTGTTTTTCTCCAAATCCCCTCTCTTCTCAAGCACTCTCTCTCCCCAACCTTTCCCTTCCCGTCCCTTCCCTCTACCCTCCCTCTTCCCCCTTTTCGCCTATCCAGCCCTCTCCACGGGCGCAGTGGTGGGCATTGCTGTGGGCTCTGCTGCTGCCTTTGCTCTCCTCCTCGCTCTCATTGTCGCGCTGCTCTGGCCCCGCAAACGGAGTGAGAACCTTCCCCATTTCCTTACTGCTTTCCCAGCTGAGTCAAACACTACTGTGTTTGTAGCACGCGCGTGTGCGTGCAAGCACACTTATCTGTGTGCAGTCTTGGGTGCTGTGTGCTGATGAGCGTGCTGGCATGCATGTGGGCATGGCAGGGCGGTGGAGCGACCTGGACGTGTGTCAGGAGTTCAGCATGGGGGAGATTCTGCGGGCGACAGACAACTGGGCGAGCAGCAATGTGTTGGGGAAGGGCGGCTTTGCCACCGTCTACAAGGGCGTCTCCTCCAAGGGCGAGCTCTGGGCTGTCAAGCGCATCGCACTCATGTCCAACGACTTTGAAACTGAGGTGAGTGGGGAGAGTCTTTAACTCTTGTCCAACGACTTCCACACCGAGGTGAGGGAAGGAAACTCCTGCTCCCGTACCGGCTGGTTGTTTCCCTTCATGTGCCCATCGGCTTGCTTGCTTCTCCCCGTGCTTGCTCGGTACCCTTTCACTGCATGAGCACTCTGCGCCACGTACCAATTCCCTCCACCTGCAGGTGTGGCATGGCGTTGCTTCGGCTTGAGACGTCCCTCTAACATCCTTTTTCTTCAGCACTAATTCCCCTTGAATTCTCCTCGGGTGCGGGCGATGCCGTCACTGCAGCATGAGTACATTCTTAAATGCCCTTCTTGTGTAATGGCCCTCCTCTGGCAGGTGCAGGTGATGGCGTTGCTGCAGCATGAAAACGTCCCTTAAACCCCCTTTTAAACCCCCTTCAAATCTCGTTGCCACCGGCAGGTGCGGGCAATGGCGTCGCTGCGGCATGCGAACGTGGTGCGCCTGTTGGGTTTCTGCCTGCATCAGAACGTGGAGAGCGGCCAGCAGGAGCAGATCCTCGTCTACGAGTTCGTGCCCAACGGGGACCTCAAGTACCACATCCATGACTCCAAGAGTACGCTCCCTCTCCTTGCATTTTGAGGGAATAGAGAATCGTTTTTCCCTAGATATGTTGCTCAAGTCCAAGGGGGGCCCCATACAGGAGCCATGACTTTACGTGACAGCAGCTTTTAGCAAAAAATTTAGTTTGTTTGGTTTGTGTAGGTTTGCTTGAAAAAATCCTTGTGTAAGGAAAAATTTGGCGGTATCTAGTTTCGGCTCTCGGTCTGAAAAAGCCCTTGAAGCGCTGAAACTAGTTACCGCCAAATATTCATAACACAATGTTTTTTCACACTAATCTACATAGACCAAACAAATTAATATGTTTGTTAAAAGCTGCTGCGACGTAAAGTCATTGCTACTGTATGGGGCTCCGTTGAACCATCTTGTCCTAGAAATGTTGCTCAAGTATCACATCCATATGTCCATGTGTATGCTCCCCCTTCTTGTTGGTTTTTTTTCCTTGCTTCAGCTTCTCTTTAGTTTCCCTCTCTCCCTCCCCCTCTTCCACCTCCCAGAGCCATTAACTTTGAAGCAGCGGCTGCAGCTGGCGGTGGGGGCAGCGGAGGGAGTGGCATATCTGCACAGCTTCGCGACGCCCATCGTGCACCGCGACCTCAAGCCCGGCAACATCCTGGTGGGCGAGCACAACCAGGCCAAGATCGCCGACTTTGGGCTCCTCAAGATGCTCAGCCACGCAGAGGGCGGCGACGACCGCACTCGAGTGGCCGGCACCCCGGGCTACCTCGACCCCGACTACAACCGCACCCAAGTCGTCTCCGAGAAGAGTGATGTCTACAGGTGTGAGGTTCACAAGTGCCAGCGCTCTTGCTATGCCCCACGTCCGCTGCGATATGTGAATACTAAATTAGCAATTCTTTCAAGTCCGACTCGTAATCACGCATGCCGGCATGCTGTTTGCATCTCCTTGATTTGGATATTCATCTCATCTATGTGGGGGCGTTCATTTCCACAGCATCGAGCACGTAACTACTTATGTTCGCCTTTTCTTCCCTGCTCTCCCCACCACTCGTCCAACCTTTATCGGTGAAGCAGCTTTGGTGTGGTGCTGCTGGAGCTGCTGACAAGGCAGAAGGCAGCCGTGGAGGGCACAGACAGCCACATCAGTGACTGGGTGAGTGCAGCCACATCAGTGACTGGGTGAGTGCATACAAGCATGCATAGTAGGGTTGAGTAGGGGCAGAAACGCGTCGGGTCGCCCAGTAATACGGCCTAACCGGGTTAAGTTCTGGGGCCGACCGAGGTATCCCTCTGAGTTGAGTTCAGGCATTTTGGAACCGGGCCAAAAAGGGTTTGGCCAAACCTTTTCCTGATCCAAACCGGTTCGGGTTCGACTCTGTGACGTCGTGCATAAACACCTACATGCAAATGTTCACTTTTGCGAATATTGTCAAAGCCTTTTGACAAGTCAACAAACACGAATAACTTATCAAATATGTTAAAAATGAGAGGAACGGCGATTAGGTGAGATTCAGCAGGAGTCGCTGTAACTCGAAAAAATAGTGAGGACAGAGCCACCAAGAGTTGTTGGCCAGGATCCGTCATTTCGAGAGGTTACAAAGAACTCATTTCTTAATTAAACGCAAATCTGCGTGGTAGAATTGCGCGCCGTATGCTTAGCCACTATCTCCAATTTAGATCAATCAAAAAGATGGACTAGAGAGTGAAAACGAATTGAAAACGTTCAGTAGTTGCATGACTAAAATGGTGGTGGAGCCTTCTTGACAGCAGCAAGGTCAGCAGAGCCCTCAGCAAGCAGCATCGAATCATGCACACACGCGAGAATGTCAATCATTTGGGGTGAGATTCTGAGAAAGAGCTTGGGGTCGGAAGAACAAGTGGAGAAGCCAACAGAGTGAGAAGTGGAGGCGAGGTTAGCATGCCACTCGCGCATGGCGCTTCAGTTCCGATACGGTGCTTGGAGTAAAGGGGGGAGAAAACCTAGCGAGGCGTTCACAGAATACACACAATATACTGTTAATGTTAGCCCTCGATCTCACATTTGTACATGTACTTTTTATATCCTAGCTTTGTGTAGTTTGCACTTTGTGTTTGGTTGGGTGTACACCCACATCCCAACCAAACCCAAATGTGATCTTCAAGCAATCTCCAACCCACCAATTGGAGATTGCCTTGGGATTACCCCCAATCCCCTAGGATTGCCCCTGATTCTCTCTCCACCCTTACCTTGCCTATTTCCAATGTACTTAAAGAGTCTTGAGCTCATTACTAGTGCATGGATTCTAAGCTCAAGTTCTGACATATACTGCTCTTTTTAATCATGTTTTGATTATTTTTCTTACATAAAACCCTTGGGCTTTTTATACAACTGACTACAGTACCAAACGCGTGAAAACACATGATATACTGGATGTTCATGTTGTTTTTTTTTACTACAAGTGTTATCGAGGCCCTTGTTAATGACTATTTGCATATTCTCCAGAATATAATTGTGCCGTTTTGCTCCTGTATCTCACTTCCCCACCACCTCCCCTTTTCCCAAACGGCGCACATGGTGCAAGGGTACGAAGTGGGCATTTCACAATCCTCCTTTGTGCTCTTCGCCCTCCCCTCCCCTCCCCCCCCCCCCCAGGCGGCGCGCAAGGTGCAGGTGTACGAGCTAGGGGAGCTGAAGGACGCGGGGCTGGAGGCGCCGGACGAGGCGGTGGTGGAGCTGGCAGACATCGCGCTGGACTGCCTCAAGATGCCCGCCTCGCGCCGCCCCAACATGAAGGACGTTGCCCGCCGCCTCCAGAACCTCCTCTCGCTCTACTGCGGTGACGAGGACCTCTCCTCCCTCTCAGAACCCAGCCTTCGCTTGGCGCGAACACCACGTGGCGAGAGCATCAGTCGGGGCTCGTTCGGGAGGAGTGACTGGTCGGAGGCAACGAGCGGTGCGTCCAAGCTCACCCATTCGCTGTCGGAGAAGTGGCGGATGATTGAGTAGGGTTGTTGAGCTCACGGTGTCACGAAATGAGTAACATAACATGGTATAAATCAAAGCGCCTTTACCGTTCTGGCGCGTGAACCGTACATCATGTTTTATCATTCCTAGCCCCTTTTCGAACTGCCTTTCGTGTTTTACCTTTTTTACTTGACTATGACATTTTGTTTTCTGAACATTGTGAAGGCATCATAAATCATGAATCATGATATCATCATGTTTGCTGCCTTTATATACTGCAGTCCACACTGATTTTCACTTCAAGCATGCGTTTTCCCAAAAGAGGTTTTCTCACCAGGGCTGATTTTATCAGGGTAATTACCCTGATTTCAGGGTGATTACAGGCTTCTCACCTGGTGGTCCCTGCAATTTCAGAATTTTTGACTTGTGAACACTGATCCATTCAGAATACCGTAATACCCCGGATATAAGCGCACCTGCGCTTATAATAAAACACTGTTTTTTGGGGGGGTGCGCGTATAATTGAGTCAGATTTATAAGCGCATGCGCTTGTATAAAGGATAAAATGAAAATCAATTTTGAACACACCATTGTGAAGCTCTCAATAAGGCGAATTCAACCGACCATGCACCAAGTGGGATCGTGCATGGTTTTCAGGCAGAAACCGCAGCGGTTCGGTTTCCCACCGCACAATGTTGTCTGGAAACATCGAATGTGACAGCCGTGACGAGGATGTTGCCGTGCGGCCCAATCAGAGCCGCATGCGCTGCGTGGCATGTGCATTCGAGCAGAACCATCTCGAAGGTTCGGCAAGATTCCCTGCCAGCGCAGCGTAGATGCTGCCACGCAGGCGCCTCTACGGGAGTAGGCGGGGGTTTCCTGCCTGTCATCGACGAGGAACCCGAGCCGCCACGCAGCAGGGGTCCCCGTCGTTGCCCATTTCTTCACCCTCGTCTCTAATTTTTTCATTCAGTTTCCTGTCTAGCCCGCCTGGCAGGCGAAGCCATGGCGGAATTTAGTGGGACTCACATCCTCTTCAAGAAAAAACCACGCCGCACATGGCGACTTACCAAGGACGGGCGGTATACCCGTGAGCCACCAGTGCCTCCAGTGCCACCAGATCCCCCTGCACCCCCTGCCCCTCCTGCTCCCCCTGTGCCTCCTGCTCCACCCGCTCCTCCCGCACCTCCCGCTCCTCCGAATCCGCCTGCTTTTGCTACGGCAGGTGCTCACCAACGGCCCGTGCTCCAGCTGTATTTACCAGCCACGTTCGACGAATGGTTGGCTGAAGCGGACACACCCAAGGCCCCCGATGCACGCATCCAAGCTCCGGCGACTGCACCACGGTGGGGACAACCAGAAGCCTGCGCGTGGGATGAGTCGGCTGTGGGCGCCGGCGATGATGTGGCTGCCGACAAACATGACAGCGGCGCCGGCGAAGCTGGAGGCGACGGTGAAGCTGGTGGCGACGGTGCAGCGGGCGACGAGGAAGACGTGTTCCCCGACCGTGACACAACTGCCGAGGACGAGGACGGTGTGGAGTCCTGGTGGCGCGACGCACCACGCGCGAAGATGCCGGTACCGACGTATCCGCCCCTTAACAAAAAACGCCCCCACCCGTCTACCGAGAATCGAGATGCCCGCCCCCCCTCCCCCAGGCACAAGCAGACTCAACATAAGCGGCAGTCCTACACCGCCCAAGAGAAGTTGAGGTGGCTCGTGCGGCTCGAGCTTGCGGCTTCGGTGAGCGAAGTGGCGCGGGAGTCAGGCATACACCGAAAATGTCTGACAGAATGGAAAGCCCAAGCGGAGGCGCTCAAGGCTGCACACGGAGCATGGATGCGACTTCACGGGCGCGGGAGGGCGTCTTGGTACCGCCCCATGGAGTTAAAGGTGTACGCGCAACTCCTCGACTGGCGACGCCGCGGAGTTGCGGTTTCGGTCGGCCGGCTGCAAGAGTGGTCCAAAGAAGTGATGAAGGTTCTCTACCCGGACGTCAAGTGGAAAGGCAGTCAGCGGTGGACGGAGCGGTTCCGCAAGCGGTGGAACCTCAGCGTGCGCATGAAAACAAAGGTGGCACAGAAAACACAGGAGCGTAAGTGGGTCGTTTACTGCTGATTTTGATTTATCCCGATTATGCTTAGTTTCTTTTTTGCATGTCTCCTGTGCGTGATACTAATTTGGTTTACCATGTGTACTTATCTCCCTGTTCCGCAGACGTGGCTGAGCAGTGCAAGGATTTTTGGCAGTACGTACGTGACGCCCGGAACGAATACGACATTGACAACCGCTACATCATCAACGCCGACCAGACACCGCTGTGGTTGGAGATGCCGGCGACGACCACCGTGGAGCAGACGGGCGTGAGGTCGGTGCCCATCCGCAGCGGTGGGTACCAGAAGGAGAGAGTGACCGTCATGCTTGCGTGCACGGCGACGGGCAAGAAGCTGAAGCCGTGGGTGTTTTTCAAGCGCAAGACACTCCCCAAGGGTGACTTCCCGAACGGTAAGTGATCGTCGCGCGTGTTTATTCCCGTTACTACCAGAGTCGTCAACCGCTTCTTTTTCCTTGCATGCAGATGTTGTGGTCGGCTGCCAAGCGAACGGGTGGATGGAGGCCGCTGGCGTCATCGAGTGGCTCAACACGGGCGTGGTGCCGTTCCTGAAGCCGAAATTCGGCCTGCAGAGTCGTAGCGCCATGCTGGTGCTCGACTCCTATCGCGGTCACCTGACACCAGAAGTCAAGGAGAGATTCGCGGCGCTCAACATCGTGCCTGCGATCATTCCGGCGGGATGCACGGCAGACCTGCAGCCCCTCGATGTGTCGATCAATAAGAGCTTCAAACCAAGCATTCGTCAGCAGTACCAGAATTGGTTTGAGGAGGACGGCACGAACATCCTGACCCCGGCAGGTGAGTGACGACATGTGCTCCCGCCTGCAAATCTTGAGCTTGTATGCTTGTTTACTTGTCTCATGTTTTCCCCGCCCCACTCCGTGTGATGCAGGGAACATCAAGAAACCAGCTCCGGAGGTGGTGCTCAAGCGGATTTCACGGGCGTGGAAGGCGGTGCCCGCCGACCTCATCAAGAAAGCCTTCCTCACGTGCGGCATCAGCAACGCCCTTGATGGGAGCGAAACAAACTGGTGCTGGCGCACCGGAGAGGCCAGTTGTCCCATGAAGTGGAGGTGGACGACGACATCCAGGCAGATGGGTTCTGGGGCAACAACTCCACGGAGCCTGAGTCGGACGAGGAGGAAGAATAGGCAGTAGGGTAGACTAGGCAGGTTGAAAGGTGTGTAGTGCAGGACAGCAGAGACCACCCTTGTATGTGATTGTCTAATTTAATGGAAAGTTTAGAACATGTAGGCTAGGTAGGTAAAAAAAATTAGTGATACTTTATTTTTTAACTAAAAGGGTGCGCTTATAATAAGTCACGATTTTCCAAGGGGTGCGCTTATAATTGAGGATCGGCCATAAGCGCATTGCTCCAGATACAAGCGCATGCGCTTAACATAGGCCTGCGCTTATATCCGGGGCCATACGGTAGTGCTTTAGCGAACCCTGAAATATTGTATCTTGGCTCAGAGTAGTGTTCTTATTGACTCTGTCAATATAGAGTACGCGTTCTGTGGACCCTGAATGCGAGGGTATCGGGATGAAGATTCCCGGAAATTTCCTCCCGATAACCCCCCATGTGCGTAATCATGATTTCGCTTGTACCCATGTGAGGGAGCCCTTTCTGTACAGTAATACCGACAAGTAACACCCATGTGGGAAGGTGGGGTGGATGTTTGGGGGGAATGTGGGGTGGGGTGGATGTTTGTGGTGTCTGTCAAACACTATATGTGTTGTTGTTGTGTAGGCTATAGTGGGTTAGCCTTTAGGGGGTACACAAAACTAGGGTTTGCTACTTGTACTCCAACTTTTCATAGTTCACACACTTCTTGTTTCTGACATGGTATTAAGAGCTATAGGTTCTAGACCTAAGGGCCCACCGTTCCGCTAGTGGTGCCCTCGTGCGCCCTTCTTTTTTAGCGCCCTCGTGCGCCTCTCCTCTCGTGCGCCCTCGTGCGCTCTCCTCTCACGCTGCCCGTGTGCAGCCCGCTAGCAGCCCGAGCGCGGCCCCGCCGTTTTAGCGCGCGTAGGAAAACCGCCGCCTAGGGCGGCTCGATTTTTTCTCGCGAGCCCCAGCAGGCCGTCGCCCGTAGGCCCCGCTAGCCCCTAGGCCGACGCGCGACCCACAGCCGCCCGTCCGTAGGCCCCGCGGCGATCGCGCGCCGGCTGCTGCAGCCCGCGCTAGAACGCAGCCGCGGCCCGCGCGCTTAGCCGCCGCTAGACGCAGCCGCGGCCCGCGCGCAGCCGCACCCTAAGGCGCCGCCGCGCACCGAGCATAGGCCCGGCGTCGCGCCGCCCTACCCACCCGAGCCGCGCCGCCTGAGTCGCGCCGCCCGAGTCGCGCCGCCCGAGTCGCGCCGCCCAAGCCGCGCCGCCCTGACCGAGTCGCGCCGCCCTACCTGCTCCTACTGCTACTACTGTTGCTTCTGCTACTGCTGTTGCTACTGCTACTGCTGCTACTGCTACTACTGCTACCTGCTACTGCCACTATGGCCAGTCCCACTGTTCTCACCTTTGACGCCGAGGGCCGCCCGATTAAGTTCGATGTCTGGCTTGATGACCTGCACCTGTACCTCCAGATCACTGCCAAGGACGATGTTTCCCTCTATGGCCACACGTCCGGCGCTGCTCCCGCACCTCCCGCTACTGCTGACAGCACTGCTCGCTCCCAGTGGCAGACCCGTGATGCTCACGCTCGCCTAGCCGTTCGCAGTCACCTACCGTTAGATGAGCGCGAGCACTTCGGACAGCATAAGACCGCCAAGGAGCTGTACGACGCAGTAGTCGCGCGCTACTCCTCCCCTGCCACTGCTGCTATAGGCCGTCTCTCACTGCCCTACCTCTTCCCCGACCTGTCCGCCTTTGCCACTGTAGCTGACCTCATCACCCACCTCCGTACCAGTGACCTCCGCTACCGTGCCGCGCT